CTTTAACGAGATCTTGGATTGCCCGGTCAACCTTGCAATCACGTAGTACAGGCGTGGTCTCCCGGTCGGACATAGACTGCAGGACTCGCTTACGATGCACCAGCCGACATCCATGGGCCAACTAATGCAGCGCATCAATGAGCACATCCGAGTAAAAGATGATGCGGCAGCATCTACCGCGAAGGCAACCCCGGTAGCAACAGACAAGAGGTCGGCTGGCAAGGTACACGCGGTCGGACAAGAGTCAAACCGTTCAAATGATCGTGCAGAGGAATCAGATCGTGGCTCAAATCGCAAAAACTGGGGTAGGAGTCGTCAAAATGATCGAGATGACTACCCTCGGGATAACGTCGCTGATGCAAACAGAAGGTTGAAGGCCAGGACAAGCATTACTACAGTTTTTAAGATTCCAATTCATCATATACTTAGTGAAACCCGTGACGAGGATTATGTCCGGTTTCCTGCTAAGTTGGGTGACAGACAGAAGGGTTTCAATCCGCGGTACCGTTGCACATTTCACCGGGAGCACAGCCACCGGACAGAGGACTGTTTGCCTTTGAGGCAACACTTGGAAGAGCTAGTCGCAGCCGGACACCTGGACTTTTACATTGACGGGGGCGTGAAGGCAAATCAAGCCCCGGTTGATCCGCGTGCACTGGGTGACTTAGAGGCGCCCCCTCAAGGAGTGATTAATGTCATCCACGGCATAGTGGAACCGGCGCGTGTATGCGAGCTCCGAGGTATGATCAAGAAGGTCGAACATATGAGGGAAGTTTTGTCGGTCCAGCCCGCGATCAAGAGGGGGAAGACCGAAGAAAAGGACGTGATCAATTTCTCTACAAGGGACTTAGAGCGCATTCAGACACCGCACAATGATGCCTTGGTGGTCACTCTCCGCGTCAAGGAATTCGATGTCAAGCGCATCTTGATCGACCAGGGAAGCTCGGTCGAGATCATGTATTACGACGCATTCAAGCAGCTCAAACTCCGCAATACAGACTTGGCTCCGTTAACTTCACCGCTGGTTGGTTTCAACTCGCAACCGAAGTGGCCTTTGGGAAAAATTATCCTGCCGATCAAAGCGGGATCCGTGGCCAAACAAGTGGAGTTCTGGGTGTTGCAGGTGCCACCTACTTATAACCTGATCCTTGGAAGGAGGTGGCTTCACGCTATGCAAGCCGTAGCGTCGACCTTCCATCAGGTGATGAGATTTCCCTCGGCTACGGGGGCAATTGAGGAGATTTGAGGCGATCAAGTCATGTCGAAGCAATGCTTCGTGGCAGTCAACGGGAGCCGAGCTACCAAAGGCTTTATCCAAATGAAAGAGGGAACGGAAGACCGAGGAGTCCTTGACGATGTGGGCACTAGGGCCGACGACAAAGCTGTCGAAGAATTGGTCGAAGTGCGAATTGATACAGCGAGTCCGGACAGGTTCTTCTTGCTCGGCTCAAGCTTTACCGCACAAGAAAGGACCGAGATGGTTGAGTTTTTGATGGCCAATATCGAAGTTTTCGCATGGTCGCCTTATGACATGCCCAACCTCGATCCGAGTTTTATTTGCCATCACCTAAACGTCTTCCCCGGAGCCAAGCCAGTCATTCAGCGAACAAGGAAATCGGCGCTGCATCACGCCGAGGTAGTTGCAGAGGAAGTGAAGAACTTGCTTGAGGCACGAGCTATTCAGGAAGTGCACTACCCTCGGTGAATTTCAAACACAGTTGTTGTACCAAAGAAGAATGGGAAGTGGCGAGTTTGTGTCGACTATAAGACCGTCAACCGAGCTTGCCCTAAAGACAGCTTTCCACTGCCCAGAATAGACCAGCTTGTGGACTTAACGACTGGACATAACAGGCTCAGTTTCTTGGATGCCTACCGCGGTTATCATCAGATTGCCATGCATGGCCCTGACTGCGAGATCACCTCCTTCACTACACCGAGAGGACTCTTCTGCTACCGAGTCATGTCTTTTGGTTTGAAGAACGCCGGGGCAACTTTCCAAAGGATGGTGACCAAGATGTTCGCTCCTCTGCTAGGTCGGACAATAGAGGCTTATATTGATGATATGGTGGTTAAGAGCCAGCATCAAGCAGACCACTTGTCCGACTTGGCCGAGATGTTCGCCATTCTTAAACAACACAAGCTACGCTTGAATGCGTCTAAGTGTGCCTTTGGCATGGGATCCGGAAAATTCTTGGGCTTCCTAGTCACAAACCGAGGCATCGAGGCAGACCCCGCACAAATCCGAGCCGTACAAGAGTTAAAGCAGCCTAGCTCGGCTAAGGACGTGTAGCATCTGGCCGCCGCACTTAACCGATTCATAAGCCGGTCATCAGATCGCTGCCGCCCATTCTTTCAAGCTTTGAAATCAAAGTTCTCTTGGGATGAAGAGTGTGACCGAGCTTTAGCCGCGCTCAAGGAGTATCTGTCTTCAGCGCCACTGTTGGTAACACCGAAGCCCGGCGAAGAGCTCTACCTTTATCTGGCCGTTTCACAGCATGCGATCAGTGCGGTGCTTGTCCGATCGGAAGGAATCAAGCATCTCCCTATCTTCTACGTCAGCAAAACCTTGCTACCAACAGAGTCGAGATACTTGCCACTGGAAAAACTTGCATTGGCATTGATGATGGCCTCCAGGAAATTGGCGCACTACTTCCATGCCCATACAATCATCGTTTTGACCGAGTTCCTCCTCAAACCTTTGTTCGAACGGGCGGACTTCTCTGGTCGAATCCTCAAGTAGGCGGTTGAATTGGGACAATTCGACGTCAAATTCCAACCACGAACTGCCATAAAAGCTCAGACATTGGCCGACTTCGTTGCTAAATTCTCACCTGAAACTCATCCGGTATGCCCGGTGGATATTGCCGCGGCAAATGAAGAGGTGAATGCAGGCCAGACCGCAATAACACAGCTAGGCGATAACGGCGACGCGGAACTTGCGCGCCCCACCGAAGAACCTTCGGTTAGTACAATACCACAGCCCGGCGATGCGATGACGGAGTTGGGTATCACCGACCCAACTGCTCCGTCCGGTACTGCATCACCAAGGGGGAAAGAAGTGGAACCGTTCAGCACAGAGCCTGCAGCCGGCATAATACTGCAACCCGGCGATTCGCCTATGGACTTAGGCATTACGGATCAACTTGCTGAGTCCGGCACCAAATCGCCGAGAAGGGCTGAAGTGGAACCGCTCAGCACAGAACTTGAAGCCGAACAACCGTGATCCCATTAACCTTCAAGCCTCTCAGGACCCCTCAAACTGTTAGAAGCTCTTTGTTAGCGAAATGTGGAAACTTTTTGTTGATGGATCCTCGAACCGTCACGGTGCCGGGCTAGGTATAGTTCTGATTTCGCCAGACGGGCTGACTATCGAACATTCTATCACCCTCGAATTCCCTGCCTCAAACAACGAGGCTGAGTACGAAGCGCTTTTGGCTAGGCTCAAGAGCGCGCTTCAGATGCACGCATCCGAGCTAATGGTTTACAGTGATTCCCAGCTTGTGGTTAACCAAGTTTCTGGGATTTACAAAGCAAAGGATGACAGAATGATGAAGTACCAGGCTCTGGTCAGAGACCACATCAAGCGATTCCAGGCAATAAGGGTCCAACAGATTGGCCGAGAAGAAAACGGCCGAGGAGATGAATTGGCCGGCCTTGCTTTCATGGTCGATAGCACATCTCCCAACCCTCTCTTGATTGAATTCCTTCCACGACCTAGCATTGAGGAAACCGGGCAGACAGAGGTACTCTGCGCCGAGCTAGGTTATTCATGGATGGACCCTATTATCCTCTTTCTCAGAGACCGGACCCTTCCAACCAAGAAGAAGAAAGCACATAAAGTCCGGGTCAAGTCAGAGCGATTTTGGCTCTCTCCGTCAGGCGCTTTATACAAGAAGTCTTTTACCGGTCCTTATCTAAAGTGTGTGCACCCGAGCAGCGTGGACGCCTTCTTGTACGAAATTCACGAAGGCATCTGTGGCAGTCACATAGGGGGCAGATCTTTGGCCTACCGAGCTATTTCGCAAGGCTATTGGTGGCCGTGCATGCAAGTCGACGCGCAGAAGTATGTTCGCAAGTGTGAGAAGTGCCAGAAGTTTGCCCACTAAATTCACCAACCGGCCAGAGAACTTCTTTCCCTCACCAGCCCTTGGCCCTTTGCGATGTGGGGGCTCAATATAGTGGGGTCACTCCTAACTGCACCAAGCAACCGAAAGTTCTTCATCGCGGCCACAAACTACTTCACCAAATGGGTTAAAGCAGAGCTTTTGGCAACAATCAAGGAGAAAGACGTCAAGTGGTTTGTTTGGCAGACTGTGGTAACGCGGTTTGGCATCCCAAAAATTCTGATCTCTGATAACGGCACCCAATTTGACGGTCGCCTATTCAGAGGATTTTGTGAAGACTTGAAAATTGAATTCTACAACTCTACCCCGGCTTACCCACAGTCTAATGGTCAAGCCGAAGCATCAAACAAGACCATCCTTGATGGGTTGAAGAAGAGGCTTGAGAAAGCCAAAGGAAAATGGGCCGAGGAACTCCCCAACGTCCTTTGGGCATACCGAACAACCCTGCAGCGATCTACCGAGGAAACACCTTTTGCTTTGGCATATGACATGGAGGCGGTCATACTTTTGGAAGTTGGAATGCCCACCCTCAGAAGTGAAAGTTTTGAGCCCGAGCTGAACGCCGAAGCCATTGCCCTGGAATTGGACCTTGTGGAAGAACGCCGAGAAAAGACTCTCATCCATGTGGCCGCCTACCAACAAGAGCTCTTAAGGAAATACAACAAAACGGTGCACCCCAGACCGTTCAAAGTAGGTGACTGGGTCTTGAGGAAAGTCATGGGCAATACCCTGATGCCAGTGAAGGCAAACTAGGGGCAAACTGGGAAGGACCCTACAAGATAATCGGTCTGGCGGGCAAAGGGGCATACCACTTGGAGGACCTAGAAGGCAGAGGAATACCCCGGCCATGGAATGCGGCCAACCTCAAACTGTACTATTTTTAGCTTTTGTTTTCTTTTTGTGCAAAGAAATTTTTTACCTTACACTTCAGAATGTAATATTCTTTTTGTCAATATATAGAAGTGTCTCATCTTTGCCTTAGCATTTTGATTGTTGCTTTTTAATTTTGAGATTCACAACTGAGATGTTTTACTCCGATTGATTTTGAGATTAAAACCGAGATGATTTACTCCGGTTCATTGAGTTGATGATCTGATCAACTGAGATTCTCAACCGTGATGTCTTACTCCGGTTGGATGAGTTGATGTTTTGCTCAACTTTTAGATTCTCAACTGAGATGTTAACTCCAGTTGAATGAGTTGATGTTTTGCTCAACTTTGAGATTCTCAACTGAGATATTAACTCCGATTGAATGAGTTGATGTTTTGCCCAACTCTAAGACTCTCAACTGAGATGTTAACTCCGGTTGAATGAGTTGATGTTTTGCTCAAATTTGCGATTCAAAACCGAGATGTTTTACTCCGGTTAATTTCGTTGATGATTTGTTCAAAAATGTGATTTTAACCGAGATGTTTTACTCCGGTTAATGCGGTTGATGATTTACTCAACTTTATGCTGAAAACCGCGATGTCTTTTCCGGTTAGATAAGTTAGATAAAGTGGTTAGTCTTGCCGAGGTATTTTGACAGCCGACGTTATCTAGCATGAAGAACGTGCAAACACTTGAAGAAAACGGAGCTTTTTCATTGATGTGAAAAGTAATTACAAGAGGAGGGGCGGATAGCCCGGTTACATGTGTAAACCAAAAAGGAAGAAAGAAGACAAAGAAAACTAAGCTAGGGGGGAAAGGTTAGTAAATTCGTCCTGGGCTGCCTCTAGGTTGACCATTGGTGTTTGGTCTTGGACACCGGTCTCCGTTGGCCGGACTGAATTGTGTGATTTTCCCCCTTCGCATTTTCCTCGGTTTCCTTGTCGCCTTCTTCCTCGGCCTCAGCCTGCAACGCGGCGAAGACGTCGTTAGCGTAGGGCACGAGAGAGCTCGGTAGGGAGGCAGCTGGAGGAGTGGTGAACACGTCAGTCCCCGATCCCTGGCCGAGATGTTCACAAGCAAACTTCCACCCAGCCTTGAAGAAAATGTATTGGGTGGCGCGGACCTGCTTTGTGTAACTCTCCTAGGCCTCAACGAAACCGGCATTGTTTGCACCCTTCAGATCCTCTTCCCGTGATTGTTTCAGCGCATCTAGCTCGGCCCGAAGCGCGTCTCTCTCCTTCTCGGCAAAGCCAAGCTGGCCGAGCAACCGAGAGTTGTTGGAGTTCGCCATTTGCAATGAAGACTGGGCTCTCCCGAGCTCGGCTTGGAGGCTTTGAACTTGGTTGGCAGAGTCAGTTGCCTTCTGTCGAAGCCGGTGAATGCGCTCCATGACCAAGTGCTGCTTCTGGATGGCCTGCAAGAAGAGAGATTGATCAGAAAGAAAACCGAACAAACACTTGGTGAAATTTTGGGCACAAGTTTGAGATTCTTACCCTAATCATGAATTTGACCAACGACTTCACCAACCGGGTGTCTGGAACATGGTCGCTGCCGACCATGTCGCTCGGTATGAGAAGGGCCTTGGTGAGGTCAAAGGCAAGAAGATGCCCTTTGTCGCCCTTAACGGAAGCTGTTGCCGGGATCTCCTTGCCCCAGTGTTTAAGCTGGGGCCTCCATGCCGGTGTTGGGTCGACGATGACGGCAGGCTGCTCGGTGTTGAGCTCGGTTACTAGCTCGGCAGAAGGGTCTACACGAGGCCTTTTGCCAGCCTGGCGGGAGTCTCTGCTGGCTTGCCCGGCGGCGGGAGAAGCCAACGCAACCACGGTCCCGCTGGATTGACCGGCAGCCAGAGAACGGGCTGGAATGCTCGGGATCTCGGACGAGGTGACAGTGATCAAGTTCTTAATGTGGCTCCTCTTGGCCATTTCTTCTGCTTCGGTTAAACGAATGAAGGGGACGTCTGGCAGTGTGGGATCTGGCGGCAGAGATAGAGCACGGAGAAAGTCAGTGACTTTACTCCGGCGCGGAGCTGAATACTGGTATGTTAGAGTGTAGCCGAGGAGCTCGTTACAATCCCGGTTACGGTAACGGAGCACGGTCCTGATGGCTGCTTCGTTGGGGTAGTAGTAGTTGGCTTGCAAGGCTTGGATCGCTGCAAAGGAAAGAGGAAAAGTGTCAAGTACAGAATAGTGAAGAAAGATAAATTGACCGAGCAGTTAGCACGACTTACATGTCTCGCCGAAGTTCTTGCTAATAAACCAGCCCGGTACGTCAGCCGTTTCATAGTTGCCAGACACCCAGAAAAAGTCGTCGTCGTGTAAGTCCTTGTTTGAGGTGCCGATCACTATTTTTTTTTTTGCCCAATCGAATTTTTAAGTAATAGGCGAGGCCGTCGCCCGTGTGCCCAAGGGTGTATTGACGGAGTATCTCGGCTAAACCTAAGTTGGTTCCTAGCCAGTTGTTTAACTCGTGGACCCCGTTGATTATTCGGTAAGTGTTGGTTGAGACTTGAGTGGGTGCTAGCCCGGTGCGGCGCAAGAATTCAGTCATCAGTTGACTGGGAAGCGGAGGCCTCCTTCAATGATGGATAGCACGGTGAAGGGGCACTGGTCTAATCTGCCCCAAGAAGTTGTCTCAATTTTGTCGAACTCTAGGTGGACGTCGGCCGGGATACCGTACTCTTCCCGAAACACGGCCAGGGCAGCCGGAGTATCAACAAGGAAGCGGAAGCACCTCATGCGTAGCCAGTTGGTTTAGCTCGGCTGAGGTGGTTTGGCACAGATTGGTGTTTAATGGCTGCTCGGTCTTTGAGAGCCTCGATAATTAGTCAGTGGTCCCCTTGGACTCTGCAGGAAAAGGATGGCAAGTGTAAGTGGAAGCGCGGTCGAGCAAAACGAGCTTGACTTCAGCTCGGTCATAAAGAGTGCTAGACCACCTCGGTTGCGAAGGCAAACCAAGGAGATTGATCGCTCAAGCAAACCAGTTGTTAGCCCGGTCGAGCGGCCAAGTCCTCTGTCTACCTCGGTTTCTACTAAGGTTTTGGCAAACTTGTAAATTGCTCGGTCTAATTGTTTTTTGGATCAAAAGGCGACCTGGAGCCTGGTCCGCTCTAGTTCTTCGTGTGTTCATGTGTTCATCACTGGGATTGAAGAACGAAGAGAACAGGGGCAAGTGTGGGTTTTGGGAGGGTTATGTCCTAAAACCTACGGATTTTTTGCCCTAATATATGAAATACCAAATAAAAATAGCAAAAAAAAGGCTTGAAGGACTTACCAGTTAAGGGCAGGAGCTTCCTCCTCGAATACAAATGCAAGGAAAGGCAGGAACGAGGCTTGCAAGAGGCACAGGAGCTCTGGAATGCTTGGAATGAAGGAGGAACAGTAAGAATGAAATGAAGAGGAAATGGCGTATATATGAGAGAAAGACCGCCAAAAATTTGAATGTAAAGGGACGGTTGGCTGCTCGAGGCCAATGAGCGAGCGACACGTGTCCCTATTGACGGCGGCATCAGTACTGAAGAGACAAGATGGCAAGTCGAGGCGTCGACCAGGCAAGTTTGAAGACAGGTATGTCAACTAGCCTGGTCATCGTCTAGCAGACTGTGAACCGAGGAAGAGTTATCCCGGACAGAACAGGTAATCACAGTCACGCTTGCGCGGATAGAATTAAGGGACAATTGAGAGGGAGATTTATGATTTGGATTGGGCCGTGGTAAGGGCCGGACAAATTGTGGGCCGAACACATTTGGGCCGTGACAGCCTGGGCCCATCTAGAAAGGATTTTCGCTTGGTAATGGCACAGTTATTGTGAAACCGAGCTACTTGCTCGGTAATGGCATAGTTGCATAATTGATGTCGTACTAGCGGTCAAGTGACGTTCGACCGAGATGTCCTCTGCCTCACTGGGTTCCACGGTTCATGCGTTAGCTCGACAGGAAGGCCAACGGCTAACCAGCATGACTTATCCCGAGCTCGGCTAAACCGGAATGCAACCAAGCTCGGTCGTCATCGAGCTTGGCGAGCGGAGCGCTCTGGCTAGCTACGCAGCACAGCCGTTGACAGCCGAGATGCTGCAGCCCAGTTGCCAAGCTCCCAGTGGTGTGGCCTGGCAGTTAGGTGATGTTCAGCTAGATTTGTGCTGACAGATAGGATAGCAGCACCACGTGTCGAGAGACTAATGGAAGCAGATTTGGGGCGCAGAAGGTATATAAGCGAGTCTGCGCCCCCCCACGCTGGGGCAGATGAATATTTGGTGAGATATACACTCAACACTCAATCCTCTCTCTCTCTCTCCCTATCCCTGTGTGTGTCTAACTTGATCGTCGGAGGGGTATTCCGGCCACACACCGCCGAGTAGCTCACCGTCGTTGTGCTCGCAAATCGATTGGACAGGCAACAGCTTGGAAGAAAGGAGTACGGGCTTGCCGGAATATTTGCTCCCCGTACAGATGTTATCAAGCAAGCTTACTAAGACCCAATTGACAGACCCAATGAGAGAGAGATAGACAAAACCCATAGCTGAGAGCCCCTTTTTCTCTTGATTCAAATTTCAGATCTAAGGAGAGAGAGATAGACAAAACCCAACCCAATTGACAGACCCAGGGTTTTATCTAATTTCCACAGACAAATGAGAAAAACAGGAAAAAAATAATAATAATAATAAAGAAATAAATGTGTTTGGAAACCGAGAAAAATGAGGGAAATTCTACTATTTAGAAGTTAAAAGAAGTAGTCATACAATGAAATACAAAAGCTACAATAGAAAATAAAGAAATCGATCAACCGATCTCTTGATCAACCATCTATATATATATATATATATATATTTCATATATGTTCTTCTTGATTGATAAAAATGGGAAAATCATTATGAGGAATTCTGGGTTTGACTAGAGCCATAGAAATCGACAAGTCTCTACAAAATCGACACCTAGGTTTTGAGAAGAACAATGTAGTCGGTGGTTTCTTGGAACAACTGGTCGGCCTTTCTCTCTTGGTCGTGGGTGGGTATGAGGCTTTTCAAAGCTTCCAATTTCTCAAAAACTGAAGAATATGATTCGACATTGATGAGTGTTGTTGAGTTCTCTTTCTCGTCCTTCTCATGGGCTGGACATGGCGTTCTTTTGCCTTGAGCTCATAGAGACAGAGAAAACAGAGACATAGAGAAAAGAGAGAGAGAGAAATGTAATGAGGCTGAAAAGCAAAATAAGAAAATAAAATTAAAAAAAGGTCCAAAACGGCGTCGTTTTGGACCACCGCAGAGCCAACCGCAGGGAAGTACGACAGATGATCCGGACTCGTCCGAGCTCTGCTCGAATGAGGTGGCATAGCCCACGTGAATTCTTTGCTCACGCAAGTAAAAAAAAAGAGAACTCTCATCTCCCTCCTCTCACCCTCCTTACTTTTACCCACAATCTCTTAGATCGGCGGCCATTATCACTACAACAGTTGTCAATGACTCTCTTCCTAGCCTGGCGAGATAATTTTGCCACATCCAGCGCCAACCCCACCGACGATTTTCCTCACCGCCCTCTCTCCCCTCTCCCCGATTGCCTCTCATGTGAGGTCAGTGGTGGGTGGTTCACAGTGGTGATTATCGACGGATCTGAAAGGGTGAAGATGGATTAACACCTGAACAAAGAAGAGAGAGGTCTCTCTCTCTCTCTCGCTCCACTTTCCCTCTCCAAAATTTGTTTCTTTTGTGTACTGTATCAGATCTCTAGGCTTTGGATTTGTAATCATGTAGTGAACAAATCAAGGTTTGCTTGGTTGGGGCATTTTATGTATGTTGACTAACCCTAATAAATTATCATGTCTGATTTGGAATGCAATTCTCTCTTAGATTTTCCAATGAGTAGTTAAGTCTTGTGTTTCATCTTGCTTAAAAATTGGTCATGAAGTTGGTTTTTGAATCATCTTGCTGAAATGCGTTTCACCTTGCTTAAAAATTGTTCTTGAAGTTGGTTTTTGTGTTTCAGAAGAGTGTGAGGAGAGGAGCATATGAATCTTGAGAGTAAGAGAGAGCTCTGTTTCAAAGAGAAGAAGAGAGAGAGAGAGAGAGAGAGAGAGAGAGAGAGAGAGAGAGAGAGAGAGTAAATAAAGAATAGAGAGAAGGTGAAGGGTTTTGGGTGGCAACCTGGGTGTGGCCTCGGTTGGTTCGTGGAGGAGTGGCGGTGAGAGTGTGGAGGTCGGTTCTCCGATCATCCCTTCCTTACGGATTCAGAGGGCGGCATATGTTTTGTTGTGCATGTGTTTTGTTTCATTTTTTTTTCTTCACAGATTCAGATTCATATCAGAGAAGGAAAAAGGAGGAGAAGAAAGAAGAGGACGAAGAAGATGGTTTTGTTGTGCGGGTGTTTCACATATACATGTAGCAAATGGGCCTCAATTGGTAGCAAACTTTGACACCTAATTCGGGCAATTCGGGCGGCTGATTTTTCGGTGGACCTAGCAGCGTTGTTGTTCTATATATATATACAAGTTGATAAACTCTGCCCTTAAGAAGCTAAGAAACAGCCCAACAAATGTCCAAAGCTTACTGGCCCATACGACCAAATATTAGGAATTCCTAGTAAATAAAATTTCAATTTATAAAAAGTTTGGAAGACAATTATTTCATTCAAAAACACATCATGAAAGTTTTAAAGGTGCTGAGATAGGTAGCGGCACACCAGGAGTAGGCTCTAGTACCTCTGCATCCGGCAGCTCCCTTGACAAAAGCTCCTGCATTTCGAACCAAAGCATTTCTCCTTTACTTCCTTTTGTTTGCATATTTTCAGCAACAATGAAACTTATATATAATAGGATATAGTTAAAATATACATACATACACACCAAAAATCACAAAAGACAATAAATTTTGCAGAAATTACTAATCAAATTAGTTGAGTATCGCTTCTTAATTATCACACTTGTAGAGGATTTTTGTAAATTACATTTTTAGGGTGACATGGAAGGAGGTATATAACAGAGTCTAATTAATATACAAGTATGGCCTAAAAGGCCACAGCCCATATGCTATATATATCCGCAAGCGTATACAAGTTACTTACAAACTGGACAAACGATGCAACAAAACAATCTTCCCTCAACCAAAACAATAAGGCAATGTTTATTTGGGTGAACATGACATTGGGATTCAATAAATAATCCAACAAAATACATAATCTCACGATTGATTAAGAAAATTAGGGTCCGGACTTATAGTCCACCTAGACATGATATCTCTATTTGCGGACTTTTGAATCCCAAGAGAGGGGTGGTAGACAAAATGGGGGACTACGGAGAGGTTCAGACTAATTGGTAAAATTACAAAATTGATAGGATTTTGTCAATCTCTCCTCATAATCCTAGGTCAATCCAAACACGAAATGTGATACCCGATCTAGGGATTGATAATCCCAGGACTAACAGTCTCAAAAATACTAATGCCATCTAATCCAGTCCATTCCAAACAAATATGAACTAAAGGAGTAAAGATCTTTTGTTGAATACTTTGATTTGTATTGTTAAGTCCATTTTCTAATAGCTTAAACTTTTGGAACAATTGGTGACTTAACACCTTTCACGCTAGTCAAATGTAATTTAAACTATCCTCAAAGGTCCTCCGACTCCGCTGTTGCCGAATGGTCCAATACAATGAGAGCTGCAGTTTACCAAATCTTTCTATCGGACTTCATTGGGCAAGGTTGTATGTAACTAAAACTATTTTCTTGCTTCTCACATATATATATATATATATATATTCTCTTGGAAATTTATAAAAGGGTTTGCAAAATTTATCCAAAAAATTATATTCTTGCATATTAGGGAAAAATCAAATAAGGAGGCAAGAACATATTCAAGGAGTAATGATGTGTATATTTTACGTCTTTCAAAAAATCACCAACCTTCTCTACGAATCTTCTGCCTTTCTCATTCCTCATGTGTTTAAATTTACAACAGCTGAAAAAAGGTCCTCACATAAACTTTAGGACTTCTGACCATACTACCCAAAATATTAGGGACTACTCCAAGCCATGGCGACCATGATTGTTCCTCAACCTGAACACCTTGAAATCCTAGATCATTCAGAAGACTATTGGAAGTCCCCAGATTTAAAGCCCAAGTACATGAATCTCGCTGTAGAAATTTTGGACAATAATTATTCCCCTACCTATCATCCCTTGCACCCTTACCCATTACAACAGAGCGCAAAAAAATTTACCCTTCTACTCCATAGAGAATTTAATATAACTGAACTCCTAATTGTAAGTACCACAAGTTTTGTGGCTGTAAACCCACAGCGTAGCATACCATAAATTTGAGTATAACTCATATCGTAGTCCTGGTATATCATGCCTACTATCTGCCTCTGGATGACTTCAACAACTTCGTTCCCACTCCAGATAAGTTAAAATCACTAACTCCTTAGGAACAACTGATTAATTGACAATAACTATCCTATTTCTCACACCTATACAAAAGAGCCCAACTCATGCATATCCTAATGTCTAATGCTGCCCGAATAGCAAATTTTTTTTTAAAGAACAGGCCCATTACTAGTACATGTCACCAACATTTTTCCTCCGCACATGATCTAGGAATTGGAATGTTCCTAATCGATGTCATTGGAATTCGAGCAATACTTCCAATACTATCTTAGTTGCAAGAGTGATAATTCACTCATTCTAATAATTAATCTGCAATAAAAATAGCATGGTTGTTAAAATCGCGATCCGGATCGTAGGATCGGACGATCTTACTTTGCCAAAACGATCCAGATCGTTGTAGGATCGATGTTACAATAGGATCGCAAGTAGGTTCGTGTAGGATCGCATGGGATCGTGTAAGATCATATGGGATCGTGTTAAAATCGCGATCCGGATCATACGATATCCTACGATCCTACTTTGCCAAAACAATCCAGATCGTTGTAGGATCGATGTTACAATAGGATCGCAAGTAGGATCGTGTAGGATCGCATGGGATCGTGTAGGTAGAATCGCAAGTAGGATCGTAGATTTTATGATTTTTCACCTTATTTTTAATATGTATCATTTTAATTTTAATTTTTATCTTTTTTTTTTAATAGAAAGTAGGATCTTACGATCCTCGATCCGATCCTACGATCCGATCCACCAGACCCTCTCACCGATCCTACTTAGGATCCCGATTTTAACAACCTAAATAGGATAATCTAACACCCACTGGTCTACAGAAAGATGATTTGTTTACCATCCCAACAATCCGTGTAAGTTTCCAGAATAATGCTTATAGCTTTCATAATATTTCCAAGTCCTTGAGTTAGAGGGCAAAGCTTTGGCCCAGTAGTTGTTATTGTTACTTTTTAGTCATTCTACAAGGTAATGTGTCATTTATTTTCCCAACCTAATTGTACTATGCAAGCCATCAATTGTAACTGGTAACTTTATACAAAGACCACTTAATTAAACAAATTATGCATGTGCAAATTACTAAGTTTATAATTTTAACTTCTTTTCCTTTGGAACACAAATTGAATTACATTTTTTTGGCAAAGATAGATTTCAAGAACTTAAATTAGAAGCCCTGAGCAAACTTATTCCACAGTACTGGGGGATTTGTTTGGTACTATGGTGAACAAGATCCTGGAACTAGAAGAGATTCAAGAAAGTTCCCTCTACTATGGTGATTTTTTAATAAACCAAAATTTAGATAAATCTTTTTCTTTATATTGTGTAAGATGTTGTTTCTGACAATTAGTGGTTACGCATGCCTCCATCACATTGTCTGCATCAATTAGATTATAAAGGCATACTATTGTCACTACCATAATTTTCTTTTCGTTTACTATTATCTTTTCTTTAACCAGTAAGTGACAGAAATCAAACCTTGAATGATGCTATTGTTCCTTCAGACTGAATTAGGCTAGTGAGAAGTCCTTTGCTGTCAAGATCTCCATTTCTCATGGGCACAATAAACCTATAACATAGGAAAAGAAAGCCAACCACATAAATATCCTTCCAAAAAACAGATGTTGAATAGGATGCCAATATAAAGGTACAGTTCCTATACTTGGCACAAAGCATCTTGGCAAGTTGAACTGCATCTTCTTGTCCGGAAACCAATGTAAAAAATGGTAGAAGCTGCTTTGTAACGGGTGTAATGACAATGTCAGCCTGTTCCTTCTCCAGAAGAGTCTTGTTGTAAACACAGTGGGGTTCATGGTAAAGAGTCAACTGTCCTTGGGAGGAAGTGACAAGATACCTAAGTAAACATCAGGTTAAACAAATTGTAGAAGAAACCTATAGAAATGTAGTAGGTTAGATCCATGTTTGTTTGGGCGGACATGGCCTAGGGATTGGATTAATAAATCCAACAAAATGCATAATCCGATGTTTGGTCAATAAAATTAGAGTCCGGACTAAAGTCCATTCGGACATAGTATCCTCCATATAGGGGACTATTGAATCCCAAGAGAGGGTGGGTTACAAAAAGGAGGACTAAGGAGAGGATCAGACTAATTAGTTAAATTGCAAAATTGATACGATTTTGTCAATCGCTCTCCATAATCCTGAGCCAATCCGAACATGTGATAGGATATACAATTCAAAGGGATTGATAACCCCCAAACTAACAATCCTAGAAATGCTAATCCCATCTAATTCAGTTTGTCCAAACAAACATGAAAGGTAATGTTGCTTTGGAAAAGTGTAGCAGATGGAAATTTACCCATTCTCAGGGCGCTGCCAAGGAGGACCAAGAACTGGCCCTGGTGTAGCCCGAACTTTAGCTTGAGAACCATTGCTCGCTTCAATTTCAGAGCTCTGACCAGGTTCTAAGTAAGTGACCTGGAGGATCATGAAACTAAATTAGGATGTATCTTGCAAATGTATGGCATCAAAGTCACAGTGGATGCTGAACTGAAGATCTCAAACGTATAGCATCATAGATTCATGTCCCCTTTGAGCTTCAAGTTAGAAGCTGAAAGGAAACAGTCAATTTCGATGTAGCAATTGTTCGTAATCATATCCAACATCAAGGGAAATATGGAATTAAAGAACCAATAGAAACTTCTGCACCTAAGTGGATTAGCAATAATTTGATTAAACAGTGTAGTTAAATACTAAGATCCTATGAGTATGTGGTATCAGAGCCAAAGATTGATCCACCGTTTCTGTTCAAACAACGTGATTTCCTTCTTGAAACGACCATGTCCGTTCAAATCATAGTCGCCAAACATCATCCAAATCAGTCATCGATCATGAAACCCCCAACCATCACATCGTCTTGCTATTAAAACCCACCATCACTGCCAAAATTATTCAATGTGGAATTCAGTTTTTTAGAAATTGAGTTTTTTACTTTTCGTGTTTTTTTGTTTTTAATAAATATTTTTAAAATTGTAAGTAATTTTTTTTTTAATTTTTTAGATGTACCTTAATTAGATGTATCTAAATTAAAAATTAATAAATACACAAAAAAACGAAAAATGTACTGAATTTTTGTGTTTTGTTTTATATTTTTGGTATTTAGTGAATTTTTTAAAGTTTTTTTTTCAGAAATATTATACTTTTTAAGTGTATTTATATTAGGTGTGTCTAAAAATTTAAAAAAATTGCTTAAAATATTTTTAAAAATTCAGTGAAAACAAAAAAATACTGAAAACAGAAAAGTGAAATTTTTTGAAAAGTGAATTCTAAAAACTGAAACCAAACAGATTGTTGCCTTCTTTCGGCAACCATCATTGAGAACACAACCGTGCAAAAATCAAAATCACCCTGAATCATATCTCAACAAACTCACAGTTGAAAAACCAAAAAAAGAAAAACTTTCTTCCTCCCCTTCAACCATGATCACCAATGTTCAATTGTAATCAAACTTGGATGTCTTACATCAGAACATACACTGGCACAAATACAATCAACTTTGGATAAATTGTTGGCCCGTGTTTTAGCAGATGATTCAAGAATTCCTCATAGGGACCAAGAAACTCCACAATATGAGGATAGTGCTATTATTTTAAAAGTAAATTCAGTAGGTATTGAAATCCAAGAACTCGAAGTAGAAGAGAAAGAAAATATCACATGCAACGTGGTTTTATCAAAAGAAGTGCTCCATATTGACCAGCCACCAACTGATTCTTTTATCAAGTTAGACAGGATTGATTTTATTGGCATTGAAGATTTTCTTTTTCGTGTTCAATCCATATTTACTGGGCCTCGTCAACAACATGATCATAGGGATTCGTTGGACTAAAACAAAGATCAGGAAATTCGCATATTTCATGTACTTGATTCGCTGGATGGAAGAGTTCACTATTTTAGAGCCAACTCAAGGTCAAGTTCTTAAAATGATGCAGAATGTGCGCGGTCCAAGTTGGCTTGGATATTTTGTCATTTTATGTATTAACATTTGTTTATTTATTTTTTATTTATAATTAAGGGCAAATTATATTAAACCCTCTCAAACTATCGACCACTTACACTTTACCCCCCTAATGTTTTAAACCCAACAATTACCCCCTTTAAATTATTTGAATTTGAACATTAAGTCCTTCTGTTAGTCATCTGTTAAAAATTTGGATAAAAAATTGTCAAGTGTTGTGCACATGATAACCATATTAAATTTTTACAAAAGATAAAATAGGATAATTTGATCATAAAATTTAATTCAATCATCATGTGCACAACACTTGATAATTTTTCATCTAAATATCTAACAAAAGAACTTAATGTTCAAATTCAAATAGTTTGAGGGGGGGTAATTATTGGGTTTAAAACATTAGGGGGGTAAAGTGTAAATGGTCGATAATTTGAGGGGGTTTAATATTATTTGCCCTATAAGTAATTATGATATAAACAATATTTAGTTTCTAATTTTATTAGGATTAAAATAATAATAGGATTCTCTTTACTATTTTGATTAGGTAATAATAACAGGATTCAGTTTCCTATTTTGATCAGGTTTCTTTTGACTTATAAATATCAGAGTTTATTTAGTTTTGAGATAACAATATTAAGGTTGTGACCATTTTTGTGTTAGGGTCGTGACCCTTGTTCTTATTTCTCTATTCTTATTATTTCCTTATATTTTTTATCTTCTCCTTGAGATCAATTCTCCATATATTCTGGCTTTGAGATTAATCAAATAGTTGAACTTAAAAGCCATTCGGCATCACTATGCCTAAAATGTTAAGCTAAAATGCAACCTAGGGCAACAATTTATAATTCATGTCATCGTTGGATCAGTAAAGATTGCTATTATTATTTCATCAACTTCCATTTTAATGTTCAAAATTTTCCTATAGCATACCAAGAACTTGTGTCTATAATTTAGATAGATTACACATAATTCAAGACAAAATGTTTTCTATGGCATTGAAAAAAAAAACAAAAAAAAAGATTCAAAGAAGTAAAACCCAAACAAATGACTTACATTACGGAAAAGGGGATCCAACAGGGTCTTTGCATTTGGAGTTGCTATGACTCTAAGATTCGGAAACTTTTGAGAAAGTGGTTTCAAAGTCTTTAAATGGCAGTGGTCATCTAGACTTTGTGTAATCAATAAGCAATCTACTTCAGGAAGATCAGAAAGCTGCACTAGAATTACATATCACAAGGACAAGTCAAAAATTTCCATAACAAAACCAAGAGAGAAGTGCAATATATACCTAAAAACAAACCATTTACCATTTCATAGGTAGTTCATAACTATAGAGAAGTACCTGGAAATTCTTCAGAAACTTCTTGGCGGCATCATAAAGCCAGGGAATACCAAAATCCAAGTTACCAACCAAGATTGGATCAACCAAAATTTTCAACCCACCGACATCCCACAGCCAACTATTGCCCTGCCCATAACTCACCCAAAGGTCAATCAAATCCAGTAGCGGCTCAAGCCCTAGGCAGCTAAGGTGCTTGCCGAGGGCCCCAACTAGTGGAGGACCTCTTTATATATATATATATATATATTTTTTTTTTGTATGTACACATAAGAGAAATCATGAATTAAAACATTTTAAAAAAAAATCTCTCTATACATAAATAAAAAAACACTTAAATCTTAAACTCTTAATCAAGACAACATTCATATTATAAAAGGCGAACTACATGCAGGTGCCCCCAGAGTCTTTCATTTGCATCCCACCACAGAAGTGTTGGTAATTTTTTTAACCTTCTCCCACCTGCATGTAGTTCCCCCTATTATAAATATACCAATTCAGTTTCTTCAAATCAAAATAGATTTTAACAATTCCAAATATAGAAGACATATTTGGATTTTCTATATAGCTTCAAAAAAATTAAAATCATTACATGATAATAGTTTGAAAAGAAAAATTAGTCTCATCTCGTCTCACTTAAATATGACACTTTTTCTGGTTTTTATGGTTTACTAGTAACAGTGATTTCTGATAAATGAATTTTTCAAAACTAATGCTCCATTTGGATGGATGGATTTCAAATGAAGGGATTTGAAATTGAATTTGTAATATAAGAAGATGAGTAATTGAAGGTAGATGATAACTCCAAAATGGAGGATTGAACCTAGGTATTGTCATGTGTTTTGTTAAGATCTTTATACAAATACAAGTACAATCTTTTATGGGGAAGGATTTCAAATAACTATTTTTACAAAGTTATTTGAAATCCATCATTATAAAAGCTCTCTAATCCATTATTGATATCTAAATCTAAAATATTACATTGATTTAAAAGCCATACTCCTCAAACTATTGACGTCAAATCTATTCATTTCAAATTCATAAATCCAAAGGAAGCCTAAAATTGATACATCGTACATGAGATCGATTATGCTACAAGAATATGAACTAGATTAGTCATAATATCAATTGAACATAATATATTGAAAAAGACTTGAATATAAACATTTAATTAGTACTTTTATATCTTAAAAAAATTTATAAAAAATTACAGTGTAAAAAATTATAAAAAAACTTCAATTAAAATTTTTGCAATTCTCCTAATAAATCACATAACAAGAAGAAGAACCCAAATAAAGAAAAACAAAACCCACCTCCAAGTAAGTGAGTTTGAACACATCATCAGCACCAGAAACGCTCGAACCCACCATGTTTTCCTCAGAAATCACAGCTGAAACAACCCGACACAACCTGTAATAACTTTGATATACTGTAGATATAAGTAACTTGTAAATATGTGTGTATGTGTGTGTGTGTGTGTGTGTGTGTGTGTGTGAGAGAGAGAGAGAGAGAGAGAGAGAGAGAGAGAGTTTTTAGAGCAAAGTGGGAATCCTTTTGCACTTTATCTCTCTATATTATTATATATCATTGTTCCCTTAATCCTATGATATTTCATCAATAAAATTCTTCTTTGTTAATTAAAAAAGAAAAGAAGTGGGAATCTACAACATATTCTAGTTTTTATTTTAGTTGCATTTGAAATATACAACCTTTTAGCTCAAGTTCACTAAAGATAAAAAGGAGATTTTATGTTTAAAAATCCAAAAATATTAACTATTTAATCTTTCTTTGGTGCTTTGTTTTACTATTTTTTGATCTTTTTTTTTTTGTTTTTTTTTTTAAAATTAGGGTCTCCTAACATAAAATACATAAAATATTTTTAAAAGGTTTAAAATTCACAAAAACAAATTTGAAGAAAAAAGCAAAAAATAAAAAAGCAGGAGCCAAACACAAAAAGGTGATAACTTTTGAAAAGTCTAAGTTCATGGTAATACTCTTTAACCCCGGTAATACTCTTTAACCCCACCAGTCTTTATTTAGTTCTACACCACATACTCGCATAAATGGGGTCACTTTATAAAACTTTGTACAAAATCATGCCTTACATAACCAACTTTTAATGAGTGAGCTGGACTAATTTAATTTTTTCTAACGTATATAATTATCAAGTTGAAAATTTTAAAAAGTTTAAAATTACATTAAAATTTGATTTGTTTACATATTTAGTTAATCGTGAATGAGTTTTTATGACGCAAGTCAAACTCACATGCACTACAGGAAAACATAGCAAAAAACACGGAGCTTTTAGCGACGCCGCGCCCCCCGTCGCAAAAAACGGTTTTTTGCGACGATAACTTCACCCGTCGCAAATAATAGCCTTTAGCGACGGCACTTACCCGTCGGTAATGAAACTAAGCGGCGGGGTCGGAAATGCGGAAGTATTAGCGACGGTAAATAAAACCGTCGCAAAACACCTTTTTTTTTAGACGGCACATCTCATTTGCGACGGAAATTTGCCGTCGCAAAAAAGGATTAATTCAAACGGCGCCGTTTTACGACCTACTGCCTTCTATTTGCGACGGTCTACAGCTCAGAACTCAGACGAGTCAAAAAAAAAAAAATCCTTACTCGCCCTTTTTAATGAAATGGAGCTGAGATCATATTCATATGTGAAGGTGCTGTGTGTGCTGCATCTAAGACCAAAATGGGGTCAAATATTAACTTTTGAACAAAAAATAAAAATGTTCGGATATCAACTATCGAACAGAATTTTTGTTTGAGCAAGTAATTTTTGTTCATAAGTTCATATTTGAAAATTTTATTTTTGTTTAGAAATTGATATCCAAACGATACAATAATTTGTACTGAGATAAAGTATAATATGCAAATAGAATTACCCTTGATTCTATAGTGGATTCTCATATTACATTTTACTTTTAAAGACCTTTAAACTATGTTTGATTCATAAATTTTTTGACAGATTTAGAAAGAGAAAAAAAAAATGAGTTATACTAAGGACCCCAAATATTCTACCAAACCGCTCACATGGGTGTCTGAGTCTCACCCCCTGTGAAAAATTTAGTAGAATATTTGATATAATATTTGAGATACATAACATTTCTCAAAAAGAATATGTGTAAAACATAAATAAAATATAATTATATTTCATTCACATTTCATCTAATTTTTTTCTTTTTCCTTTCCAAATCCATCTCAAAATTCATAAACCAAACACAAGCTCAAACAATCAAATCATTGTAGTTCTTTAACTTCACAAATGCACATGGTGCTCAAATCATTTTTATTTATTCAATATGTTGATAACCATGCATGCCATTTGCAATTCAAAAGTAGCTTTGACAAAATTGTTTCTTTAAAAAAAAAAAAAGACACAATGCTCAAATCATTTTATTCAATTTTTTCTTTTTTTCTTTTTTTGGCCTACGTTTTATTCAATTTTTTTAACCATACATATTATTGCCTTTTGCATTTCAGAAGTAGCATAGTTAAGAAAAAAAAAAGTGTACAAAAATACTTTCTATTTAATAAAAAAAAAACAAAGAAAGAGAAGAGGTTAATGCATACATTGATGTCTGGCTTCAACATGTATCCCGAATTTTGCAAGTAATACATCAAACAGACACTGATAAGCACAAATGATAATCCCTCTAAAATTCGAACAACAGACTGTCAATTTTCATCATAAACCCTCTAGTTCATACAACTGAACAAAGCTTTGCCAATCTCTTGTAAATAAAGATACAACTTAATTTCCTCACAAAAACAGTACCATTATTCTTAAATTGCATTCCAACATTTTGCAAACTGAGAAAATGAGAAAACACCAAGAAGCTTGATGACCTTTGCTTCCCCCAAAGTATAACTATAATACCCTGCACAATTATTTTTGTACACTCAAATTTTAAAAACAAGTGATCTCTCCCATCTTTGAGGATGATAAGCTATGTAACTCACGATTTTCTTACCTTCCGGTATTGGTAACTCATCATGATCCGGAATCTTCTCACGCCAGACAAAATCATTCTCATGTTCATACTTTCTCAGCAGTGCAGTCACCTCATCGATTTCCTGCTTGAAGACCAATCGCCATGACTCCTCCCCTGGAGTTTTCTTTTGCGCATTTGTTAATCCGTACCGAAGAACTCCAATGGCAGCCCCAACCTGACCAGCAATCTTTAGGCCTTCCGCGAGGAATTTGTAACTTTTTAACTCATGAAGGGCTTTTGATGATGAAATGAAATCCTACACAAACAAGAACAATCAGCCAAGGCAATTATCAAATCCAATCTAAAATGAAGACAAGGCCCCCCATCCAACCCCAAGATCAATGACAATGATGGTTATGGCATTGAAATTGATGATGCTAATGAAGAGAGAGTCAATATATAGCCCCCATCCAACCCCAAAATCAATGCCAACAATGATGGTGATGGTGATGCTAATGAAGAAGGGAAAAGAAACAGAAAGAAAACCATGGGAAGAGAATCAATATGGCCATGCATTTAATCAAGATGAAAAACCAGACAATCCTAAACATAATTTTCAAACAGAAAAGCACCAAACAAATGCAATAAATCATACAGTGCCGAGTCACAAGAATCAGAGATTGATGCTATATAGCCTATAGTAGTCACTTCTTAAAGAGAACAACCACCCTCTTGTAGATATTTAATTTTAATCAAATATTTCTTTAAACTTTCGTGTGATTGTCATGTTTTATTCACCCTTCTCCTCTCTTTTTTTTTCCTTCTTTTTTTTCCTTTTGCTTCTCCTCTTTTCCTTCAAATTGTTCTCGTTAGCTTCTCAAGCTTTCGGTAATGCCTTAGCAATGAACTCGACTTGCTGTTTACAAATTATGTCTGTAATCCTAATAAATTAAAAAGAGAGCCAGCCCCTAATTATCTTCTCAGAACCATCTTATAATAATTTTACAGCATCCATAATCTATTTTTTTTTTTATCAGAAACAAGATTTACAGATCTGAATTTCTTGCCCATGGTCCCAACATATATACAAGGTTATAGCTCCGTGAAAATCCTATCTTATTGCAGGATTATATTAAAACAATAATGCATTTTGCCCATATAATCACCGTTTGGAGTGAGTCTTGGTCTTCATTTGTTGTGGTCTTGTCAAAATTCAAGCCCAAAAGTTCCACCTCAGGCGGATTGATAATGAACCCAAAGAAAAGTGTTTTTTTATAGAATCAGTAGTAACATTAAATTATCAGTAATAAAGAAAGGAATTAGTATCTATCTTTTTGTTTCACCAGATAATATATGTTTCTTTAATGAAAACCTACATGATCTTCTTACCTTTCTACTAAAAGCATATAAATTTAAGAAAGCTTCCCATCAATAAAAAATGAAAGGGAAAGACTATGGTAGACACCCCTCAAAGGATGTGTCACCATATGCACCTTATAACTAAGGAAGAAAATGACATAACTCCATATTTTCTGAGTCATAACACAAAAAAAAAAAAAAATCATAACCAAACACCGTATGAGGCATAACCACAGATCTCATGAGTCATAATTAAAGAAGAAAATTAGTGATAACTAAAGAAGAAAATGACATAATTAGGAGTGCATATGGTATACCCTTTCAAAGGGTATGTATTGTAGAATTTTCCAAAATAAAAATTAAAACATAAAAAAAGGTAATCAATTAGTCTATTAACTAGTAATTTTCAGGCTTCTGAAGTCATCAATTATTAACATATTAGAGGGTAATCAGTGTAATGAGCAGATCCAGTGGGGTTTTTATTCAAACATGTGAATGAAGCCAAATCAACCCTAGCCTGTATTCAGAATTCAGCTCAGCAAGACAAGGTTATGAATATCCTATGCATTTGTACGCATCAGATACACATATTGTGTGCAGATGAAAAGTACCACATGCCTATTGGAATTTTCATCTCTGTTCTCTACAATGTCACTTGGGAAAGAGGCATTGAAGACACAAAAAGACCTCATGCTATTATTATTGTGGAATATGCACTATATATAGGCAATAAACAGCCATAGGAAGGGGGACCCCAGAATTATACTGAGATATGAACGCCTCTGAAAATTCTAGCCTCGTTTGAGAATAGGCTATTTAGTAACTTTTTGATTTTTTGGCTAAAATATGAGGTAAAAAAAAATAGTATGATTGGAATGACTTTTTGATTTTTTACGAAAAGATGTGAAAAAAGTAGAGAGAAAAGCAATCTTTCACTTTTTGGTATAGGTTATAAACTTTTTGATTTTTTTAGTAACTTTTGACTTTTAGGCTAAAATTGTTGAATGCCAAACGAGGCCTAAAAGGTGCCATTAGTAAGGAAGAATGAAAAGCAGGAAGGAGAATGAAGACAAAGGACACAGAAAAACAAGTATAGAAAGTATGATTTATCACTTGATAACTATATCCACTGATGAAGTAGATACTAGAAGCATTACCAAAAATGAAAGTGCTCACACATTTTCCAACATTTAAGTAAGATAAAATGGTTTTGACAAACAAAGATTGTATACAATATGCACACTAGACATTTGCATCCCTTTACTTCTGATGGAAAGATTCAAAATAATTCGAAGACATTTAGAAAAAGCGTTTCCACAAATGTAATGGACCGTGTAAATATTCAGGAAAAAAAATTAAAAATAAAAGTTCTACAACTTGTTGAGCACAGTTTCTAATAAGAATTTACCAATAAGGCCTGTGTAGAGATTATGCAAAATGCATACATACCACAAAGCGCGCTGAAATATCTTTGCACTCTGTGGTCGCTGAAGGCAAAATAACAAAAGCTTCATCAAGTAATTGTGCAACACCACAATGCAGCTTTGCCAAAAGACCTCCAGTGTTTCCTTTTTCCTCTGCCTTCTTTATAGTTACAGCCTAAAATGTTTTAAGGAAATGTTATAGTAAAAACATAAAAAACAAACAAGCAAAAGAACCTTATCAACAGCCACCACATAAAGAAATAAGCAGACATTGGAAAATTTAATGAATTAAAAATTGATGCAGGCAATTCTCAAGCTACAATCTGGTGCAAATCTAACAAAGCCAAAACTACAAGAGAAGACAAACACTTACTTGGGCCTCCGCCAAGCAAATGAGGCTCATAACCGATGCCACACTTGAGGTAGCTTCAGGTGGCCTTTCTAGTACCAATTCAGACTGCAAACATGGAAGGACCTCATGAGCCAGATGGTGATAAACCCCAGCAGCTTTTCTGAAAAGGGCAGCAGATTTCACCAAATCTACAACAATGCATCAGATATAAGTAAATACAAAATTTTCAATTAACACAAGTAAATGTAAAACAAGGGAAGATTGCACCAACCTGCTGACAAAACTTCTAAAGCCCATTCCCGAAGCAGTGCACCGTAAAGGAAAAGGGCCATGCCCAGCTCATATCGCAAATTATCAATTTCAAAGAACTTTGGACCAGTAAGGTTAAAGAAAGATGATGAACTAAGAGCGCTACTCCATCTTATCTTAAGGTCAGAAGTCCAACGAACCATTCGGGGGTTGTCACTAACTAAGCTGACATGGTAAACCAAGTTTTCCAACAATGGTAAATACTGCTCCAACTTTTGAAGGTCCTGAATGCATTTGAAAAAGAACAGCAAATAAATGAGAATAAAATCAAGCGGCCCAAGATACCGATGAGAATTGACACAGCCATGCTAATTAATTTATTTGAGTTGAAAATCCAGAGTATTTGAACTCACAAGTTCATCAACAGATAAAATCATCACCAAAATGACCAAACAGTGATGGATATAAATGAAGTGATTTGTTGAAATCAAAACACAAACTCAATAGAAAACTAGGGTCATAAGAAGCCATATGGAAAGCTTCATTTTTTGTCATATACACGCTCCTTTTACTGATTCAATCATAGAATACCTGTTCTGATTGAGAAGTCAAGCCCCCAGACATTTCCCTTGCAATAGCCTCTGTAATGAAGCTGCTTTCATTGATGGACTCCTCGATTGCCCTACGCTTGGAGCTTAACTCCTTCAGTTGCTCAAGTGTGCCAGAATCACGAGCTGGGTATATGTCTTCAAACACAATCTGCCAATGCGAATATCATATCACTAACCAGAATATAATAACTAAACCATCCAATGTAGTGCATAAACAATAAAAACCCGCCTTCTGTTATTAACATGTTAATTCCAAGTCCTACTTTTGAGAGAGAGAGAGAGATGAAGACAAGATGAAGCACAAAGTAAACACATCAAACTCTGAACTTCAATGCATAGCAAAAGCTATGTTGTTGCATTGAAATCCAGAATTCAAATCAAGTGCAATTAGCATTGCTATCAGGGGGTGTGTGTATGCACGTTCAATGGCTATTCAGTTTAAGGAATTTAAATTCAATTCCAAATCATATGATGTACAAAGTAACTGAGCAGCTAAAATGCAACTGGATCATCCAATAATTTCCCAATTCCACATCTCACGTTACCCAACAAAACCATAATCCAAAGCATCATTAACTCAAAATGTTAAAATAGATATTTGATCAATTAAAATCTCTTTGATACAGTGTTCTAATGTCAACTGCATCTTTGAGAACTTAGGGTGTTCATGTCAAACCACAAACCATTCAATTTACAAAACCACATATTATATAGATCTATCAAAACAAGCATAATATCAAACCACAAACCATTCAATTTACAAAACCACATATTATATAGATCTATCAAAACAAGCATAATATCCTTACCAGTTAACAAACTATGCGCAAAGCCTTCAAACACAGAAAGTTTTATACAAATACAAATAATTCAAATATTAACTAGCTATCAAAATTTCAACTCAGTGAGAGAGAGAAAAAAAAAAAAATAACTCCAGCACATTCAAAGACTCAAAAACGAAGTTCCACAAAAACCCAATTATGATATACTACTAATCGAAGTTCCGCAATACTAAACTGGGTTTTCCAAAAAACCCAATTATACATAAGAATAAAGAGGGGAAAAAAGAGTACCTTCTTAGTTTTAAGCTTTGCAGGGTCCCCAAGATGCAGCACCATCTCTCTCTCTCTCTCTCCAATGAACTACTTCAAAAATTCAATCAAAACTTGGAATACTATACATGCGATGCGTATAGAACTGGGTTTTGTGTGTGAGATCAAAACAAACAATTTAAGCGACAAAAGAGGGGAAAATTTTACAAGAAGCTACCTTTGAAAGGTTAGATGTACAGGATTGGTAATCAATTGAAATAAACCCAAATTAATCAATTATTGCAGTGGGGGTAGAGAGAGAGAGAGACTAAACTATTTTAGTGGGTCGTTTTCGATCATTACTCTTCCAGTCATTTCCGTTCCTTCTCGACCAAGGATACGAAATGGTCTCACTCTTTGGGAACGAGCCGACTCGGTTCGATCAGAACTGGGAACTCGGGATCGGACTCACTTATATGTCATTGTCATCCATGGCTAGGAATTTCATATTGGGTTGGGCCAGCATGAAGTTGAACCTAAACTTTAGATAAACTTTAGATATTTACCGCCATGTTGGTTGAGATATTTGAGAAAAGGTCTTAAAAATAATAATAATAATAATAATTTGAGAAAAGGTCTTAAAAAAAAAAATAAATATGTTATTTAAAATTAGATAAATTATAAGTATATTTTATTTATATTTCACCTATATTTTTTTTTTTCATTTCTAAATCCATTCTCAAATCCTCTAACCAAACACAGTGTTAGAGATTTGTAGAATTGATCACGGATTTCTGGATCATTCAATTTGTAAAAAAAAATTGTGTATATTATTAATAAAAAACATTAAATTAAATTAATAATAATAATTTTTTTTATTTTATCGTGTTTATTTAGAACGTATAACTTGGACAAGCTCGACCTGACTAACCCAAGTCCAATTTGACATTTTTTAAGATTTTGACAAAATATTTTTAAATTTGATACGGATTTAAATAAGTCTGAATTGAAGCTAGATAGGCTTAGATAACGACACCAAAAAATAAGAACAAATCGACACCTAGATTATACAAAAATATAATAAAAATACATATAAGTTATAGTTAGGGCTGCAAATAAGTCTATCCAAATTTTAGTATGTTTGTGCTTATTTATTAAGATTTTAATAAGTCCGAACACAATAAAAATTTAACGAACCGAGCTCGAGTTGAGTTGGCTTAGACTTAACTCGAGCTCGAGTCTATTCACGAGTCTTAACGAACCAAAGAAATTATAAATTCATACTTGCATATAAGATTAAAGTTACAATTGAAATTTTGATTATACAATTATATATATAATATATAAGCATACTAAAAAAAAATCAATATCTTATCAAAATAATAATATCTACCACTATTATTATATAATTGTGTTGTCTATGGCTAGTTATTATTTATATATAAATAAATTTAGTTATTATTTACGTTTATATTATTTAAATATATAAATAACATATTTTTTTTTTTTTATATACATATTTATCCAAAACACCACCGTTGGATCTTTGCATAATCCAACGGTTGAGATCAAAACTCTGGAATGTTCTGTTATGATCATACCAAATCATTCTCAGTCGGCTCTCTCTCTCTCTCTAATAAGCTTGTTTTCCATTAATGAAGAAAAGTGTGTGTGTGTGTGTGTGTGTGTGTGTGTGTGAGAGAGAGAGAGAGAGAGAGAGAGAGAGAGAGAGAGAGTTTCCTGTCATCATATATCCACACTCAGCCTTTAGTTGCAAAAAAAAAAAAAAAAAAAAAAAAAATTTATATGTAATTCGGGCAATTCAGACCTAACACGAGTTTGGCTTAGGCAAACAATATCAAGTTACGCTCTTAGTCTTGGTTTGGCTATCATTTTGGGGCTAAAAAAATACAAAATGGCAAAATAGGCTAAATAAGCTAATAGCATCCCCACCAAAACCCTTAAACCTCTTCTTTACCTATTTTAAGGGGTAAATGTATCCCTATACACCTACATCAGCTCCCCTAAATGATCCCTTAAATTAGTTTTTGCTACAGTGACTCCTTATTTGTAAAGAGTCACTATAGCTCTTATATATATATATATATATATTTGCTTTGTTTAGGGACTACCGTACACATTTATGATTTTTATTTTTTAAAAATTTATAATTAATAATTAATAAAATAAAGAAAAAATAGGGAGTTGGTTAATAGAATAGAGTAAGGGACTCTGCTGGGGAAAGTAAGTGAGAAAGTAATTCCTAAAATAGGGAATGAACTTTTTAATAATACTTCAGGGGAAAATTTAGGTAAACTGGTGGGGATGCTTTAATAAGACAAAAAATATTGCATCTAACCCATAATCATTATACTTTTTCTCTCACAAAAGTCAAAAAAGACAAAAAAATTAAAACCAAACGAGACTAAAAAAGTCAGATTAAAAAAGTCTTAACACAAAAAAGTTGGCTATATTAGCCAATGCTAAACGAAGCTTTAGTGTAACTCGAGATGGGTTTAGACAATCTCTCAACCCCTTGAACCCACCTAAGGGGTTGTTTAAGATATTCTAAATAAGTACATTTTTTGATTTTTTGATAAAAAAAAAAGTAGAGGAAAAAAATATATATGTTTGACGTAACTTTTTGACTTTTTACGAAAAAATATGTATTAAAATATTGTAACAAATAGCAAAATAACCAAATTACCTCTAAATATATAAATGCCTACTGATAGTGATGGCACCGTCATGCATATGGTGGCAGCAAGATGTATATGACCAGATTGCCTACGGTGCTGTTCGGCCTATGGAGGCCCACCACAGGTGCCATTTTGATAATCGAAACCGTTCAATGTGTAAAAATCCTCCAGTAATATATGTTCGTAGAAAATCAAGTTGATTGAATATCGATAGCTATCTGATCGGGGTAGTTTTTTGTCAATGTCCATTTTTTTTATACAAAACTGATTTGATCATATAGTTATCAATATCCGATTAATGTAATGTTTTACAAGCACATAGTACTCAATGAGTTCTACACATTGAACGTTTAGATTATCAAAATGAGACCTGTGATGAGCCTCCACGGGCCGAACAACATTGTTCTATGTATTATGAGAAGTGCATCCGGCTACCTAATGGGTGCGTTTGTTTGGACGGACTGGATAAGGAGGGATTGTAATCCATCGGACTGTTAGTCCTGGGATACATTGTCCCTGGACTATTTGGTCGGACTAGATTTGTATTCTATGTTTGCTTAGTCATGGGATTAGAGGTCTGGATTGGACTATTCTATTGAATCCCATATTTGTTTGGGATATTATGGAGAAGGATAAATGTTCAAAAGACTATTTTGCCCTTTTGAATTATTTACTAAATAATAAGAATATTAAATCTAAAATTTTACTTTTATATAGAATAAAATTTTACTTTTAGTTTCAGAGTGTAACATTTTACTCTTATTCAGAGTAAAATTTTACTTTCATACAGAGTAAAATTTTACTTTTAGTTTCAGAATGTAAAATTTTACTTTTATACAGAGTAAAGTTTTACTTTCATACAGAGTAAAGTTTTACTTTCATACAGAGTAAAGTTTTACTTTTAGTTTCAGAATGTAAAATTTTACTTTTATACAGGGTAAAATTTTACTTTCATACAGAGTAAAATTTTACTTTTAGTTTCAGAATGTAAAATTTTACTTTAATACAGAGTAAAATTTTACTTTCATACAGAGTAAAGTTTTACTTTCATACAGAGTAAAATTTTACTTGTTTGGCAAGGGCCTTTTCAGGCTTTTTTGGCTATTTTAGCCACAAAAAACAAAATAGGCTATTTTAGCCATAACAAACAAAACATCACATCCAACCTATAATCATTACATTATTCTCTCACAAAAAAGTCAAAAAAGTCAAAAAGCCAAAAAGCCCTTCCCAAACCAAGTTTTTTAGCCCAGGCTAAAATAGCAAAAAAAGCCAAAAAGTCAAAAAGCCAACCCACTTCCCAAACGGATTCAGAATGTAAAATTTTACTTTTATACAGAGTAAAATTTTACTTTCATACAGAGTAAAGTTTTACTTTCATACAGAGTAAAATTTTGAATTTGGACAAGCTAAGAGAAAGATGAGAGGGTCAAAGATGTAATAAAGCTAGCCAATCCCATGGGATACATTATCCCATAGATTCTGTCCCAGGCCCCCCAGGGATACAATAAGCCAGTGAATTCCGGATTAATAGTCCGGAGGGATTATTAATCCGGACCAAAAAATTCATACCAAACAACGGACTATTAATCCCTCTGGATTAATAGTCCAATCCCATGAGTTATCCTTCCAAACAAACGAGTTGAATGTGTATCAACAGCACTACAAACAGAACATCACTTCAATACACTTTTTGACTTGCATTTTTTTTGTAAATTTATTTATTTTTATTTATTTATTTGTGAATAATTATAACTTTTTGATTTTTTTAGTAATTTTTTGATTTTTGATTTTTTTTCATGAATGCCAAACGAGCGCTATACTCCTATGTTTGCTTCAAAAAAATTGATAGTCTATTTTTAAAACATATTTCCACCTATTTTTGTAAGAGACAAACGCAATAAAATAAAAATATTATAACTATCAAATCGATCTAAATTTTTTTATTAATGATATATATTAAG